TTTCTGGGTCTTCAGCTCTTTTCCATTGGTCTGAGTATCTGTCATTATGCCAGTACCACACTGTTTTGACTACTGTGGCCGTATAGTACGTGCTAAAGTCAGGTAGAGCAAGCCCTCCCACTTTGTCCTTCTTGAGGAGTTCTCTGCTAATTCTGGATTTCTTCCCCCTACATATGAAGTTGTTAATCTGTTTTTCCAATTCTTTGAAGAAGGATGGTAGTATTTGTATTGGGATAGCATTGAACTTATATAGTGCCTTGGGCAGAACTGACATCTTTACTATATTGTGTCTGCCAATCCACAAGCATGGGATATTCTTCCATTTGTTGAGGTCACTCTTGATTTCTTGAAGTAGTGTTTTATAGTTTTCCTCATACAGATCTTTCGTTTTTTAGTCAGGTATATCCCTAGGTATTTCAATTTGTGCTTGACTATTGAAAAGGGTACTGTCTTTTTAATTGTCTCTTTGACCTTGTCTGATGTGTAGAGCAGTCCAATAGATTTCTGTTTGTTGATTTTGTACCCTGCCACTCAGACTCTTTTCAACAAATGGTTTTTCCCCTGTCTCTTCCATCAGGACCATCTCATTTGTTATGGTCAAGTGACTAGGAGCTAAGAGCTTTATGGTGTTGGTTTTTACTTCAGATTTTTTTTAAGTGCTTTTAAAAAATTATATTTCTGTGGCATGGTTTGTTTTCACGGGAGTTTTGCCTGTAGGTTTATGGCATTCAGCTCTTTGTTAGTCACTTAAGGCATTCAGGCAAGAGCAAAAAAGGGTGGGGAGATTATGTGAGGAGGCTGTTGGAGCCAAAGACTGCTTCTGTCCTTTCATGTTGAAAGGGTCATTAGCAGAAATAATTCTTGTGGGTATTGCTACTAAAACATGAGATATACTTGATTTTCATTATTAATTTTTTTTTTAAGGAGTAAACTACAAATTCTTGTGAGTCCTAATTCCTCCTTATCCACAAAGCATTCAATGATTCCATGGAGTGGTTTGATCTATATACACTGTGACAATGGACAAAAGGTATTGAATTTAAAAAAAATTGTTTGTAGTAGCATTGCTCCTACCCTTAAGTATTTTGATTCTTATTAGCACTTTCATTTTATAAGCCAGAAAAAGGTATAATACATCTGTTGTTTTTCAATGAACTAGATTTATCTTAAGATAGCACTTGTACAGTGTTTATTTTTTCATGATACGAATTCGTTCTCTTGGTTGGAGGTAGACCCTGGAAGCCATTACTGATTAAAAATTAAAGAAGGGTGGGAGAGAACAGAAAGTAAAAGCGTCATTTTGAGAATGGAAGAAGCTCTGATTTAGAAGATCATCTGTTTCATTTGATTGATATTACTTTTCCCTACCATTATTTTAAATATTATTTCTTTTAAAAATTATGGCTACGTTTGTATCATACTCTTTCTTTGGTTTATTTCAGAAAATTGTGAAAATTCAAATTCAAGAAGATTTGACCCAACAAGAGGGTCCTTTCACTCCTTGGGCCTCTAGCCAATTTGGAATCCTCCCGTCAGGGCCTGAGCTTTCTGCCCGTCACTTAGTGAAATCCATAATTCAACCACCTTCCACAAAAGTGGAAATAAAAAACAGCACTGTTACTTTTCCTCCAACAGAACCTGGTGAAACTTCAGGTATATTATCACAAAACTGCGATTCAAATATCTACTGATAAATTAAGGAGCAGGGGATGGCTTAACGGCTAAGTGCTTAGCTGCTAACAGAGAAATAGATGGGTGGTTGTAATTCATTGAGCAACTAACTCTACCGGAGAAAGACTCAGCCATCTGTTTCCATCAGAGTTACCGCGTGGAAATGGTTTCTTCTGCTCTGCACCATGGGCACAAAGCAATGGATATGAAACATCTGACACCTGATAAATTGACTCTAGTGCTGTCTTCTTAGCTCCCAATTAGTGAGGAGTGTAAACGTCCTCTGCTTCAGAAAACAAAACAGGTAGTCATTGACCTGTTTAGTTTGGAGAGAGTTTATGTAATAGTTTGGAGAGAGTTTGAAAATTTTGCACTTTTATTTAGTAAATTTCAAGTTTTCTTTGAGAGTGGGAACTATCCCTCCCCAAATGACCAAATCTTTTAACCGAATTGCTAGCAAGTTAAAAGCTGAAGAAGAGAAGAAAAGTAAGTCATGCCTGACTCTGTCACTTACTGATGTGACTTTGAGGCGAGGCTCTAGAATAGGGGTCCTCAAACTTTAAACAGGGGCCAGTTCACTGTCCCTCAGACCCGCTGGAGGGCCGAACTATAGTTAAAAAAAAAAACTGAACAAATTCCTATGCACACTGCACATATCTTATTTTGAAGTGAAAAAGCCAAAGGGGGACAAACACCCAGTGGGCCGGATATGTCCTCAGTGGGCCGCATGTGGCCCACAGGCTGTAGTTTGAGGACCCCTGCTCTAGAGAGTTTAAATAGAGTTGTTTACTATCTCTATTTGTAAAATGACTCTTGTAATTAAAACCTACCATATAGGGCATTGAAGATGAAATGCAATTATATGTAGAAGGTTTATGTGTTGGTTATTTAGTATGCATTCAATACATTTTAGTTAATATTCTTCCGAGATGATTTCTTTCTTTTTAATTTATTTTTGATTGATGGCTCAATCTAAATGACTTGGATTATACAAGAGGTCCTGCCCTTTAGAAAAGATTTGGGATCTCTTGACCCTTTGAGTCTCTCATTAATTTCATTTTCTTCCCAACTCAGGCCCTTCCTTTCATGACCATATGCTGACCTTCTCATCACCAACAGCTGTATTGTATTCTGCATCTCAGTTTCAGACCTGACACTGCCTGACCATTACCCCCTCACTCCTGCATTTTTTTTTTCAGCTCACTCACAGGAATTATAGCAATTCTCTTACCTCACTCGAGCTCCAATGCATTGACTCTGCTACCTTTACATTCTCCACCAACCACCCAGTTTTGTCACTCCACGCTACCACCCCACTTCCCTCCCATCATCCTGCTCTACTCTCCCACTCCTCCACCTTTCTTGACTGTCACTCCCACTCCACCTGCCCTATCCTATCCTCATTGTCACTCAGAGCCATCTCCCCACCCCACAAACATCACTCTTCATGCCCGCGCTTTCATTCTACTTTACCTCCTGCTCTCCTCCCCCACCATACTCTTACCACACTTTGTTACCACGCCCTGCCCATACCCTACTTCTCTTGAACCCTTCCTTGATTTCTGTGGTTTGTTGTTAAAGTCATTGTCTCAAAAACACCCTTATCTCATTGTATCCCGTTCCTTCTCTATTCCTGCATGGCAAATCCCAGTGCTGCTTAAACCCAAATATCTACCAACTCTGTCTTCTCTACTCTAGCAGTAGAGCATTGGTAGAGCAAACCATACATGCTAAAGATTCATGGGGATAGAGCTCAGATGGCCCCTACACTATGTTTCTTTGCCAGGTCTCCTTAGCACATTTCTTCATTACTCACTTTCCAGCACAGTTCATTAACACTGAGTCTAATCCAATCTCCCATTCTTCCTCTGCTTGCTACCCCTCCTCTTGCCCTTTGTAGCTCTTGACTTTGCCTCAGACATCACTGCAAATATAGAAGTAATTTCTCTTCCCATTCTAGACTGATCCCTTAATTTGGACCCTAATCCCATTGCTTTTCCCTTCTCAAGGATGACTCTGCTGTTGTCACTTTTCTCTCCTGTCATCGGTTCCTTTCTCATCCTTGCTGCATTCCTGTCAACACACACATAAGCCCCTCTGTCACCATTTAAGGGAAGCCTTCCTCTTGGCCTACCTATCCTTACTGCTGCCCCTTCTATACCCCTTCATAGGGAAGACTTTTGCTCACTGCTTTCCTTTTGACGGTAGGTGGCCTAGCTGAAAATTGCCAAATCCAGGGGCCCGTTTTATCAGACTTTGTATATTTGACCAGTTGATACTATAGAACACTCTTTCCTCCTTAGTTCATATACCAACTCCGTTTTTGTCGCAACCAAATGCTCATTCCCATGTTCCTTTGCTGATCTTCTTGCTAATTTCTGAAACTGTGAAAGATGGCCTGGTCCAGTTTGGGAACTGTCCATGTCCCCTCTCCTTTTCTTTTTATTTTATTTTATTTTTTTCCCCTCTTCTTGGTGCCTTTTCTTTCAGCAGGTTCAGGTGGTCTCATGACTTTAATTACTCTTAATAGCTCTAACCCAGCCCTGAGCTATAATGTACATCTCTGTAGGTGTCTAAATTAATTTTTGCGTTTGGATAGCTTATAATTTAGCCTTATTACATGCTCAAAACAAAACCCTTGGCTTTACCTACAAAAACCTGCCACTCTTACCCATTTTCATAAATGACAGTTCTCTGCTCATTTATTTATCAAGACATATAGAATTTATCGCCCACTTATTTTCTCTCCTCTCTTCCACTCATCAGCAAATCCTTTCAACTTTTGTCTTGAGTAGACAAGTTTGTCTTCAGTAGATCTCAAATCTTCATATGACTCAGTAGATCCCAAATTTGCATATGATTCAAGTCATTGTAACCAAACTACTGCAATGACATCTCATTTTCCACTCCTACTTCCTTGCAGTCTCTTTTCTAGATAGCAGCCAGTTTTAGAAATATAAATCATGTTGTTATCTTTTTGCTTAAACTCTGTAGTAGCTTCCCATTATCTTAGAATAAACTCCAAAATAGGCTGCCTGTCAAATTTCATTAAAAAGTACTATAGATCCTGTTGAACTTTTTTATAAATCATTTTATTGGGACCTCTTGCAGCAATCCGTACATCAGTTGTATCAAGCACATTTGTACATATGTTGCCATTATCATTTTCAGAACACTTTCTTTCTACTTGAACCATTGATACCAGCTTCTTCCCCCACTTCACCCTTCCACCCTCGTGAATCCTTGATCAATTATAGATTGTTATTGTTTTCATATCTTACACCGTCCGCTGTTGCCCTTTCACCCACATTCCTATTGTTCATCCCCCTGTGGGTGTGGGTTATACGTCAATCCTTGTGATTGGCTCCCCCTGTCTCCCCCTTCCCCCTATCCTCATGGTATCACTACTCACATTACTGTTCCTGAGGGGTTTATCTGTCCTGGATTCCATGTGTCGAGAGCTCTTATCTGTACCAGTGTACGTGCTCCGTTCTAGCCAGATTTGTAAGGTAGAATTGGGATCATGATAGTGGGGTGGGGTGGGGGTGCATTAAAGAACTAGAGCAGTGGTTCTCAACCTGTGTGTCACGACCCCTTTGGGGGGTCAAACGACCCTTTCACAGGGGTGCCCGATTCATAACTAGCAAAATTACAGTTATGAAGTAGCAACAAAAATAATTTTTATGGTTGGGGGGGTGACCACAACATGAGGAACTGTATTAAAGGGTCGTGGCATTAGGAGGGTTGAGAACCATTGAACTAGGGGAATGTTGTGTGTTTCTTTGGTGCTATTCTGCACCCTGGCTAGCTCGTCCCTTTCTTGTGCCTGTTGATTTTCTTTAGACATCTGATGACAGTATTTTTTTAAATTGTATGCTATGAGCCCTATCACATTATTCTGCTTATTTACTTTGTCTCTAAGATTTGTTTTAAATATTATACATGTGTTGATTGTAGAAAATTACCTGGAATTTGAGAACCACGGTAACACAGACGTAAAGTGGCATCTGTCATCTTTTGCACCCCCTTATGTCAAGGTCAGAGATAATTGTCTTATATAATATTTTCATTTTAATAATTAATCTTTATGCAGGGTATTAAAAAATTGAATATAAGAAAATATTGGCAGTATTATTTATTTCACTGATCAACTCATTTAGTTGAAATTTTCTCTGTGTTTTACTGTGATTGTTCTAATGATTCTTCCAGGGAATTGATGAAAGTGGGGCTGTGTTTAGAGCTACATACGCAGCATTCAAATGTACTCCAATTTCCGGCATGTTGACAAGCCACAGAATTCAGAAGGTGAGTCTTGTGAGGACATGGTGCTAGGCAGCCAGGGGTACCTTGTTTGATTCAATGCCATTCAGCTTGTTTTTCTTAGACCAGTGCTACTCGGAGTGGGAAGGTGCCACAAGAGAAGATGCTTACTTCAGAATTTAAATCTGTGCACTGCTTCCTGTAGCAAGGAAGTCCTGCTATGAAAAAAAGAGTCAGCTGACCAAAACACAAGTTATTCATCTCTCGTGGGCTGACAACATGGGGAAAAATTAACATAGTCTTTATAAAAATTTCTGGGGCAGGGGTCTCATCGTTAAAACAACGATTAATAGCCATAGAATGTTTGTTATCTATTTATATAAAAATATTGTTACCATACTACTACTACCTGACGTGATCTACAGATTCAGTGTAATTCCTATCAAACAGCAACAGCCTATTTTGAAGAAAGGGAAAGGCCAATCCTCAAATTCACATGAAATTGAAACGAGCCATGAATAGTCAAAGCAGTATTGTAAAAGACAAACAATAGGACTCATATTTTAAAATTTCAATATATACTGTAGTGCTGTATAATTAAGACAGTGTAGTACTATCATAACACATTTATGAAAATAATTCCTGGGAGGAAGGTCTGGTTGGCAAAAAAAAAGAACCTTTCACAGCGAATGTGTCGGGAAGGTGAGCATCATAGAATGCCAATTTAATAGCAGTATTCTTGCATTGAGGGAGTACTTGAATGGAGGCCCAATGTCCATCTGCTACCTTAATACTAAACCTATAAATATATGCACATAGATCTATTTCCCTATCCTCATATATATATTTACATATGTACATGTCTTTATTTAGGCCTCTATAAATGCCCTTTGCCTCCTACCTCTTTCCTCTTTTTCCTTTGACTTTCCTCCTGTCCCACTATCATGCTCAGTCTTCATTTGGGTTTCAGTCATTCCTCTTGGTTACACTACCTTTGGTCACGCCCTACCAGACCTCCTACACCCTCCTCACCACCGATTTGGATCACTTGTTGTTCCCTTGTCCCTGGGTTTGTTAAGACCACTACCTTTCCCCCCAACTCCCCTCTCCCATGTCCCCCTGGAACTGTTGGTCCCGTTGTTTTCTCCTCCAGATTGTTCATCCAGCCTATCTTATTTAGACAGACCTAAGTATTGGTACTCATTACTGTTCCTGAGGGGTTTATCTGTCCTGGATTCCATGTGTGGAGAGCTCTTAATTGTACCAGTGTACATGCTCCAGTCTAGTAGGATTTGTGAGGTAGTCTGGGGTCATGATAGTGTGTGTGGGGGTGGGGGATAAGCATTAAAGAGAAGCTTTAAAGAACTAGAGAAATGTGTGTGCTTTGTTGGTGTGATAGAGCACCCTCTCTGGCTCGTCCATTCCTTGTGACCCTTCTGTGAGGGGATGTACAATTGTCTATAGATGGGCTTTGGGCCTCCACTCTGATCCCCATTGTTCTCATCAATTCAGTTGTTTGTTTTGGGTTTTCTGATGCCTGATGCCTGCTTCCATCTAGCAACACCTCATGATCACACAGGCTGGTTGTGGGCTTTGTTGCTTCCCTGCTAGCTGGCCACTTGTTTAACTTCCAACCTTTCAGACCCCAGATGCTATATCTCCTAATAGCTGGGCACCATCATCTTTCTTCACATTTTCTTATGCACCCATTTTGTCTTAAGCAATCATGTCAATCCCCATCCTTTTTTATCCTACCTCTGTTATCCTCCTTTTGCCTTAATTCTCCCAGCATTCTTAAGTACTTATTTGCTGGGTTCATTGTTTCTGTTTTCTGCTTGTTAACAGATTGGTTACAATCAGAAAGGTCAGTGGTTCAAAACCACCAGCTACTTTTTGGCAAAAAGATGTGGCAATCTACTTCTGTAAAGATGACAGCTGTAGAAGGACTATGCAGCAGTTACACTCTGACCTCCCAAGTGTCACTATGATTTACAATTGACCGAAAGACAACAGGATTTTTCTTTTAAAGAAAAAAGAGTAACAAATGGGAGCTTCTTTTGGTTGTGTATGTGCAGGTTGTATACAAAACTGAGCTGTGTGATAGGAGCTATTAGTCCTGACTGGCATCCTGAAGTCAGGATGCACAATAATGCTTATCAATTTCTTTCATATTTCACTGTTTAGTGCAAGTCCAACCATGAATGGTTGTTTTCTAGACCTCTGGGTGCTAGACTTAGTGACAGTAAGTTTGTTCTCATGATCACATGGCTAGGAGAAGGTACCCTAAACATGGCAATCCAGCAAGGTCTGGCCTATGTTTCTGGAGTGTGACTTTTCTCATTTAGATATTCCTTGGGACAACACTAGTATCTTTTTGCTCTGAGGGAAGCAAAACAAAACTACATTTACTATACATTTTGAGGAATATTTTATATAGAAATTTAGCATTCACTATGTCTGCGAGACATAGAATCATTTGAATATTTTTTTCACTTAGTGGCAAAGCTAGCCAGGTAGAAGAATTCATTCCTTTAATTATTTGTTCCTTTTTTAATGCCAAATCCTTGAATTGGTGATAAAAGTGTATGCATGTAAGCTTCACTGTCTATAGATTCACTGGATATGTGCTTTGTAGGTCTCCATCATGTTTTTGCCTAGAGATGAAGGGAATTATGCCCAATTTTGGGATCTTGAGTGTCATCCTCTGAAAGACTCCCATATGAAGCACACACTGAGATTTCAGCTCTCTGGTCAGGTGAGTGTTGCCCTGAAATCTAATCACTCTAATCTGTTAAAACAACTGTGTCACACTGGTATGAAAAACTGACCTGAAACTGCAGGGTACCTTCCTGGTAATGTTTTAAAGTTCACCACTTCTGCTGGATAGCCTATAGTCTTAATTTTATTGTTTGTCTTTATTGAACACCATATTTGAGGTCTGAGTTGGCTGTGTTGTAGACACAACTCATAAAAAACCCAGGTTTGACAGAATTATGAGAGAGGGGGAGACAGAGAATATATGTGTGTGAGAGAGAAACAGACTGTAAGAAACTGGATAAAGCAATGTATAGTGCTTTTGATGCAGCAAGTTAAAAATCATTTAAATCTCCTTTTGAAAAATTTGCCAGGAAATAATATCTTTCAAGTGGATAAATGTCCATATATTTTCTTGGAGTAATTATTATTTTTTACCCTGTGATTTGTCTGTACAGAGTATCAAAGGAGAAAGTAAGCCTGAAAGTGTATGCATTTCCACAGACACCCTCATTAAGACAGATAATTTTACTAGGCCCCGGAGACAAGCTATATCTGAAGTTTCTGGAGTTATATCTGGGTATGCTATTTTTCTCATTCTTAGTAATTTTTTCCAATATTTTATTGATGTATAATTATATTCAATGAAATGCTCAGTGTTTTTATATGGTTCTGTCCCCTCACCCCCCAAACAGACTCACTGCCATCGAGTCAATGCCAACTTGTAGCTCCCCTTTAGGACAGCGTAGAACTGCCCTGTGAGTTTCCGAGACTTTAACTCTTTATGGGAGCAAAAAGCCCCATCTTTCTCCCTTAGAGCGGCTACGGGTTTCAAACTGCTGACTTTGCAGTTTCTCTCACCCTACATGCTTCTCTCTATAGGAACCCCTCTGTCTTTATGCCAATGCTATAGATTAGTTTTGCTTAATTTTTCACACACGTATGTACTTTCTGGTCTGACATTTTTCACTTAGTATAATTTTTTCACTAAATGTGGTGTTGAGTGTGTGTGTGTGTGTGTGTGTGTGTGTGTTTGTGTGTATGTATATATATACATATATATGTAGTGTTGAGTATTCCATTATATGTAATCTCAAACTATATGTTTTCCCATTGAGATTTGAGTTTGGCCTACTCAGTTAAAATCTAAAAAGCAAACCCACTGCTATTGAAATCTTTGCCGAATTTAATATAAATCTGGTCATTTGTTGGAATACAGTTGTTCTGTAGTATCCACAGGGGATTGGTTCCAGGACCCTCTCCCATGAATATCAAAATCCAAAGATGCTCATGTTCCTTATATAAAATGGTAGAGTATTTGCATATAATTTACATACTTAAATCATCTCAATTACCCGTAATACCTAATAAAACTTAAGTTTTATGTGAATTGATCTATGCTTCCCTTAACAACTGGTTCCATTAACCTATTCATTGCTTTTTCTAATTTTGAAATATTTCTATCTTTGGTTGGTGGGACTCACTCATGGTTGGAGGAACCCATAGGTACTGAGGATCAACTAGACTGGAGTTGTATTTTGGAAGAAATCGGAATAGTTTTTTAAAGTATTTTTTCATAGCACACACTTTCTCCATACTATTAATCATTCATTCATTCATCTCTAGGTGGTGAATGCCTATTCCAGATTCTAGAGGTCAAAGAGCAGGCAGAGTCAGTGTAGTCTCGACTCTCTCAGAGAAGGAGCTACATTAATCTAAACCCAGTGCCACCAAGTGCATTCCAGCTCATGGTGACTTTGTCAGGCAGGGTAAAACTGCCCCTGTGGGTTTCCAAGACTGTAACTCTCTGTGGGAATAGAAAGCCGCATCAATCTAAAAGCCACACTAAAATCTTCCCGGATAAACTGTGGAAAGTGCTACAAAAGAAATAGTGCATGACCGAGGAGCTTGATCCGTGCTGCCTGGAAGAGCTTTCACGGTGCTGTCCATGTGTAGGACTTAGGCGCAGAGCAGAGCAAGTGAGAGGAGAGGAGAGCGCGTGAGCCTGGCGAAGTTGGTGGGCAGAGTCCAGACCAAGCAGGGCCTTTTATTTCAGGATAAGGATTTGGCTATTTATCTTAGAGTCACTAGAAACCATTGAGTGATATGATCAGATTTGAGTATTTAAAAATATCCTTCCTGGGTGTAGATGGACTGGTTACATAGAGGTAAAAGTAAATATGACAAAACAAGTTAGAAGCCTATTTTTGAGTCACCCAGGGCTAAGGAATTTTTTAAGAAGGAAAAAAAATAGATGTGAGAATTCTGATGTAGAAATAAAAAGACAGTTTGGAAAGGCTTAGTATTGGGTTGGATAAGGGGATGTGAGAGAAGAGGGATGTCAAAGTTGACTCCTAGGTATCCTCCCTGAAATAGAAAATACAAAGGAAGGATTGGGTTTGAGGGGAACGAGCATGGGTTTAGGTTTTTTGTTTGTGGAGTATCTTTGCAACAACCAGAGAAATAGGAGATAATTGTGCATTAGTTAAATCAGTATTATCCATAGAGTAAATCTGTGCTAACGGAGAAATCTGGGAGTCGTTTTAGTGTGCATTCAAGTCACTGAATCCACCAACAGTAGAGTGAGGGGGCTTAGAGAAAGGGCCACGGGGAAAGCTAGTGTGTCCAGTGTTGGGGGGGTCCAGGTGAGACCCGATGAAACACCATTAGAGGTCAGATTGATGGGCAGCTAAAAGAAGGCCCAAGCAGGAAAAAGTGTCACTACCATCAAATGCTGATCAGGTTCTCAGAGTAATCTGTGTTCCCACGAAAATTAAGAACAGCAGCATTACAGTGTGAGGGGTCCAGGTAGAAAGAGCTAAACTGAGGTGGCTGTTTTCAGTACAGCCTAGACTCTAAGGAAAGGGTTTACAGGGGTGTAGCTGTTTCTTCTCTTGTGGTATGGTGTACCCAGCCTTTTTGGTAATGTCATTTCTGCATTCTTCAGTATATCTCCATATAAACTAGATTAGTTACCACCACATTATTTTTACACAGGCCGAACAGGTAATGATCAGAGAGTGGGCGTATACCTATAAATATATAGGTTTGACAGGATACTTGTTTATGTCATTTACCTTTGCTGCAACTGTATATTTGAAGCTTACAGGGGACAAAGTTAACCAGACACCTTGAGAGAATATGTTGTTGGGCCTAGGGACTCAGTCTTAGGGAACACCAAGGTCGATAGTATGACATCACTCACAAAAACAATGTTCAATATCTCATATGGGTTGAGTAGTGAATGAGGGCGTTAGTGATCATGTGAGGTACAAGCTCACCCAGAGAAAAGAGGAGTGATGAAAATAAAAAAGATGGATGGAAACGATTAGTCCAGTGGACTAATGGACCAAGCAAACACCACCCAGTGCCTTCAACTCCGAGACCTGAAAAACTAGACCCAGCTACCACTACCAACTGCTCTGAAAAAGATAACGTTAGAAGAGTGGAAGAAAAAGATGGAACAAACTCAAATCATACAAGAGCACAGGCTCCGCGATCAGATAGAAACTGGCAGGACTCCAAAGACTATGGGCCCTTCCTTTTCAGATCTGGAACAGAAACTACTCCTGTGACTCAGTTTCACCCAAATAATAGCCAGGTCTGTAAAGAGAACAACAACATTAGTGAGGTCTGCACAATTGAGGATAATCAACTCTTTAAGACTAACGGGGGCAGCATGAGCCCAAGGGAAAGCTCAGAAGGGCTAACGAGGAATAGAGATAGTCCCACAGGGCGGAAGTGGAGTAAGTAATGTCATACTGAGAAGATTGAAATTACTGAGGCGAAACAAAATATGTTTGAATTGTGAATGTAAAACTAATAATCTACTCTATAGACCCTCACCCAGTTCACAATAATAATTAAAAACCTACAAAATGATATTTTAAACTAAGTTGTGAAAAACCAGACAAGTTAAAGAAGCCATTAATGATTTAATATACAAAATAGTTTAAATTGCTAGTTCACTTTTAAATCTATCGTCCAAAGCAGGCAGATTGACCTAACTTGCCGTGGAGTTTATGCCCCGGAGGATGTATATAAGTTTCTGCCAACTACAGTTGGGGAGTCAAGAACAGTAAAAGTCACTTTGCGAAATAATTCATTTATTACACATTTGGTAAGTTGAAAATGTTACTATGGGCTTTAAAAAATGTGTACTCAACTGAATATTGAATATTTTCCTAATATAAAAACTTGTTTTTTGATTATAACTTATTTTAAGTTGTAATCATGGATTAACTTTAAATTGCCTTTAGTACTGTATTTACAAAGAAACTCATAGGATGTTAATCATCCTTTATTAATAGAGGATTATTTATAAATCATTAACTTTTTCCCCACGTGTTAATTTTTTAAGTCTTTCATTTGTACCAGAATTTTTCCTGGATAGCATTTACTCTGGTCAAAACTACAATATATTCATATTAAAATTTCCTTAAATGTATTTTCAGCACATGAATATCTTACCTAATGTTGTTGGACTAAATTTATAAAATGAATCGTTAAATAAGTAGTTGGCATATTTTATATATACTAACATAACCTACCTGTATAACTTCATAAAGTGTTTCTTATTAAATTTTAGTTGAAGTTTATAAGTCCCAGGGAGCCATTCTACATCAAACATTCAAAATATTCTTTGAGGTGAGTTTTTCTTTTTTTTTTTTTTAGTTTTCCTTAAGTAAAAATGTTCTCTCTAGTAGTTCATGACTTTTGATTTCAGCCTTTAGAGATTTCTCTTGGGGATTAGGTCATAAGGATCTCCCTTTGTACAGCTCCTCTGTCTTCCTCACCAGCGCCTACAGGCACGTTTCCCGATTATGTACAAGCGACTTTAACATGGAGCTGTCCAAAAATCGAACACAGTTTTGTATGTTAATGTTCTTAACACCCAGATTTTTCCTGCCATATAAAAATATAAAGCCCTCATTATTTTGTGATTTGGTATTAAAAGGATTGGTACTGAAGGATTTAAATTTTAAATAATTACAACAGAACCTTTCCCAGATTGGGAAAATGTACACAGGGATAATTGCCAGTTGTCATTCTTCACATGCTCTGTTTTGTTCTTCAGCCAGAGCTTTGATTTTTTTTTTTTACTGTTCTTGCTAATTTTTTACACATATGATGTACATTTAAGTTGAAATCGCAAACTAGATTTTCACTAGTATTTGGAACTTAATAGGAAAATGTAGGACTTGATATTGAGGAATAATTTTAACTTTATTTTTGAGCCCTCAGACCTTTTAGTTATTGTAAGATTTTCTTTTAGAACATAGACTGGAGCAAACCGTCTAGGACCGCCTTACTAATAAGTCCCTAAGGCCAGTATGAATTTACACTACCCCATGTTGAAGAAATTCTTTAGGTTGAGGACTATTCCTTCACTTGTTACCCTTCCTCCTTCATGCTTCTCTCTCCTACACGCCCTTCCCTTCCCTTATAACAAAGGTGATCATGTTAGTGACAAGAGAATTGTTGAGAGCAGTTAGTAGTCTATTAGAATAGTGCCCAGTCACTCCATTTTTGTTCTGTGAATATATTTTTGCTCTTCTGTTCCTTTGCGATATGATTAGTCACTGACTCCACTGTGTTTTATATATATTTCTGTGTGCGTGTGAGAGAGAGAGAAAAGCAGTTATTAATCATAGTACATCTTGCTGGTAGTGTTCCATGTTACTGGACGTCACTGAGTCAGCTCTGACTCATAGCTACTCTGACAACAGAATAAAACACTGCCTAATCCTGCGCCGTCTTCACATCCCTTGCTGTGTTTGGGCCCATTTTGTAGCCATGGTGCCAATTCCTAAAGGTCTTCCTCTTTTTTGCTGACCTTCTGCTTTACCAATCATGGTACCATTCTCTAGGAATTGTTCCCTCCTGATGACATGTCCAGAGTATGCATTCCAGTTTTGCTCCAAGTATCTGTAAATTTAAAGCCAACAGTATAGGTCTATCATAATATGTTTTAAAGTACTTTCTCAGTTGAATATAAAACAGTCCTATATTCCATATTGAAATTTGTAATGGAATCTACTGGATTCCATCTTGAGACATGTTATTAGTTTTAATAATTCTTTACAGAACCTTTCAGATTAAAAATTATACTAGGTTCTTAGTGTTGAAATATTAGCATAAAGGGGAAAATTATAATTAGTCAATGCCATAGGGCTAGGTTTATTTATTTATTTTTAAGGATACTTAGCTTTGACATGGGAAAATAAGATATAAGGCATTTGGAGAAATAACCCAGACTTTAAAAATTAAAAGAAGAAAGAAGAGAATGTGTTCTTTAAATCCAGGGAAAGGTTTTGAAATAATTAAACTTTTCCAGATCTCTAGCCCAGTGTACTGGCGTGTGTCCTAAAAAATTAAAATAATACTGTGAAGTTTGTGTCATCACAAAGTGTAACATAGTCTTGATCACCATGTTAACTAAGATATATTTTAAAGCTTTTAAGAAAGTTTTATAGACAAAAGCAACCCTTCCCCCGATTAACGGTTGTAAACACAGACCACTTATTACATACCTCTATATAAACAAAATGTTCAAGGTTTGGGGTAAAATTTCATAAGAATTTGGGAACACTTAACAACACATAGCCCTGTTGATAGTAATGGGACTATTAGTTTGCAATATGGCAAGGCAGTATGCTGCCTGAGTTAAATGGAGTGGAATAATAAAGATGTTCTGCTGACTTTTTAGGTAGAGAACTGCCTGCTTTTGCAGACAATACAAGCATAAGGGTGCATACACAGTAACTCCAGACTTCATAATTTACATTTTCCTGTTTTTATTTGATAGAAATATATATGCATACCCTTTTGTGCCAGTTTCTTTATGTTAATGTTTTTATTTATTTTTAAAATCATTTATTGGGGCTCATACAACTCTTATCACAATCCACACATACCTCAATTGTGTAGAGCACACTTATACATTCGTAGCCCTCATCAATCTCAAAACTCGCTTTCCGCTTGGGTTCCTGGAATCAGCTCATTTTCCTTTTTCCCCTCCCCCTCCCTCATGAACCCTTGATAATTTATAAATTATTATTTTATC